GGTGGAGACAGAGGATTTGAGGAAAATAGAAGTAAAAGAGAAAAGCATGATTGCTGCTGAGCAGTGGGGATGGAGCTGAGGTAGGACAGCATGGAGTTGTCAGCATGGACAGGGCTTGTTTACCAACACTGATGTGAGAAAATGAAGACTAGGTTTCTGCCAAAATACTAGTAAACATAAGGTGAGGATGGTAGGCCATGGTGAACACTTCTGGGGCAAATGAAGTGACAAAAGGAGGAGAGAGGACAGACTGGGAGAGCAGGGAGAGGTAGAGAGATCAGAAACCATGAGGAGGGTACAGGGCAGGCTCAGCAGGGCTAAAGGGGGCCGGGGAAGGACAGGGGATTACCAGAGACCTCGGTTCTTGTCTTCTTGAAGGAAAGATTTTAATCAAGAGGCAGAGTGTAGAAAAGCAAGCAAGAACTTATTGACCACGGCAAAAACACACTTAAGACAGTGAAACTAGGAAGGGCATAGAAGTAGCAAGAGAGCCTCGTCTGGGCTGTTTTGGCTCACTGGAAGTCAGAGAAAAGGGGGCCTTGGAGACAGGTTCAAGGGGTTAGCCAGGTTCAAGGGGAGGAGCTGCCACTGCCCATTGCTCCCCTGGTTGCAAGTCTCCTAGAGTCCCTTGGAGTTTAGAAGATATGTGCCTGAGGGGGGAGAAGAAGAAGAGAGGAAAGGAAATGGCAAGGTCTCGCTCCCCTGAGGGAGAGCACACTGGAACCTTCATTTCCAGGAGTTTTTAAAGGCTGGGAATTTAAGGGAGGTCTTAGGGGTGGATCACTAGAATATTCATCATCTTTATGCTGATGTAGCAAAATGAGATTTATTCTCTTAATTTGTCTGCTCTTAGGTGTGGTTGGCAAATGGCCCTTCATTGGATTTCTGTTATCTGTCTCCCTGAGTAGGGTGACTTAAGCTATTTACCTTCTGGTTAGGGAGGAGTGCAAACCATCTACTCTTAATGCCCTTGGATTAGGGAAGATAGGATTTACTAGGTGGCTGCAAATTGCTGTTTATATAATCTGCTTGTCCTTGAATTTTCCTAGCTTCTTACTATCTATATTATAAAAAGCAAGCAGCTGTAAGGTCTTAACGCCATAAGGACCATGGAGCACCTCTCAGTCCCTCCCCCCAGCCCGAGAGCCACTCCCGGTGGTGGGGTGGGGCTTGAGATTCACCCACAGGCTCTGATCACAGCAAGGCTGGCGCTGGTGGGTGGGCAGAGCCGTGCGATTTCATGCTCTGGGCTTCTAGTTCTATAATAAGGGTGTTTGGTCTTAGAGCTAGAAATGGCCATATCATGTCTTCCTTGTCTCTGTGCCTTTGCTTGTGTTGCTTTCCTGGCTCAGAAACCCAGCCAGTTAATTCTAATACAAATTTCCTCATTTGGGGAATATCCCATCCAACCTTCTCCAAGTAATCAAAACTTCAACAGTCTTCTTCTATACCTGTACAATTCAGGCCACACATCTCAGCACTAAATTACAGTCTGATCCTGTAGGCTTTCATGTATGTTCATCTCATCTATCTGATTTTATGGAAACTTCTGGAAAGCAGAGAACTTGCTTGATGTGCTGTCTGCAATCCTGCCTCTTAGTGAAAAGGAAAATGGGGGGGCGGGGGGGGGGGCGAGGGCTTGCAACCTAGTTCAGTATCTGGTTAAAACTGTAGTCTTATTTCCCCATTCTGACTGACTTGGGCAGAGCTGCGGGGACCCTCAGGGTCCTGGAACTTCAGTCGTAGAAAGGATAATAAAAGATTACTTGATCCACATTTATCATTTGGTACATTGGGAAGCTTAAAAGAAAACTGGAACAAATGCAGAGAAGGGCAGTGACTTCTTCAAATTCACATGGCTGGCTAATGCCTGAGGCAAGCAGAAATCAGAGCTCCCAACCACTACACTTTTCTTGACACTATATTGCATATCAGGCAAGCAATTTTTCTAGCTATCTTAACCCTAAATTCTAATGTGTGTCTGAAGAAATTTCAAACTTTTAAACCTAATGTTTCTTCTCTAAAGTAACTTATGAAAGATTATCATCTCCAAAGGGGATTGGAGAAGAAGAGTTAATTTATTGAGTACATTCTAAGGGACAAGTGCAATGTGGGGAGATTTACATATTGTACCTCAATTATTCCTCATACTATCACCATGAGATAGTTTTTACTGTCTTATAAATGAAGAGACAGAAAAACAAAAAAAGATAGTAAGGTTCTTGCCTAAACCCACCCACTTAAGTAATACAAGGGAGACTTGCTCCATATCTGGTGGCTCAAGAAACCCATTATCTTTCCATTAAACTATTAAACGAGATCTATTTTCTCATCAACTTTCCCATCAAGTGAGAAATGATTCAGGACTCTGAGTGGAAAAAGCTTATGGCAAAATGAAAACATTACAGGTGTGGACTTCTAATGCACGTGGATAACAGGCAGTTCAAGGAGAGTTCCTCTTTTCACAATACTACAGGTTCTCTCCTGCAAAGGAAAAAAACAATTTAATTGCCCCACTGTTCTTGGGAATGAGACAAATATGTCATGCCTTCACAGGACTGGCTATTTTATTTTATATTTTCAAATTATCTCTCTTTTATCATCCGAGAGAAAAGAAAACTCCTGAAATCCTGCCAGCTTTGCAATTCTGTTCCCATTTCATCTTACCTGTGAGTGCCTTGTCACCATGGAGACTTGGTCAAACTCATGCTCATGCACTTAATCTTGCAATCTATTACTGACTGGCTGATACTCCTTAGGCCAAAGAACAGCAAGTTCTTAAATGAATTCTCCTAAGGAAACAGAGCTGCAGGCCAGTTGTTTAACCCTAGCCTGGGAAATGGCCTTTGGTAACATGCAAGATTAAACGTGTTATTGTTTTCATAACACAACTCGGGATGTTTGAAGTAAGACTTGGAAAATGAAAAGGTATACCAGGTGTGTTAACTATTCCACTGCTTATCAAACTGCCTAAGTTTGTTTCATTCAGCAAATATTTATTGAGCCAGGTAAACATCTTGAATCTCAAGTATGGAGATATAAAGATGATTAAAACAGAGACTTTGGCCCCAAAGGACTCAAAGTCTGCTCAAGGACACAGAGAGGTAAATGAACTCTAGTATAATGTCATACATGCTATAACAGAGACCAGTGGGGGGAAAACTTGAGGAAGGAACAGCGAAGCCATTTCAAATGAGGGTAGAGAAAGTGAAGAGAGGGCATTAGAAAAAATGCCCTCTCAGATGAGGTAGCATTTGAGTTTGGTCTTAAAGGGTGGATTCGTGAGAAGTCAATAAGCAGAGGAGGGAAAATGAAAAGATAATAATACCTAACAAAAGCCTGGAAGTATGACAGGGACCAGCTAGTTAAGGGACCAGGTAGTTAAGAAACAATGATCTAATGGGATTAGTGTATGCGAACCTACAGTTCACAAGGATTGGCAGGTAGTGGGGATGGGAAACTAAGCTGAGGATATAGGAAGTCAGGGCTCCAAGTGCCACGTCTGTTTGTTTGGCTTTTGGCGAGGGAAGGACACGATCAGATCTGGGTTCTAAAAAGTTCATTTTCCTTAGGGCATGAAGAAGAGATTAAGGATTGAGAAGTCCAGGCAAAAGGAGAGGCAGGGATGCCAACCTTGAGGTTTGTGTAACCATCTATGTAAGCGGCCTAGACCAGAGCAGAGGGGCTATAGAAGAGGAGCCAGGGGAAAAATGATAGGAATAAATTAGAATTGATTAAGACAGAACTAGCAGGTGTTGGTGATAGATCGAAGGAGAGGAATGATGAATAACTAAGTCCTATACCAGTGATGGCGAACCTATGACACGCGTGTCAGAGGTGACACGCGAACTCATTTTTTTGGTTGATTTTTCTTTGTTAAATGGCATTGAAATATATAAAATAAATATCAAAAATAGAAGTCTTTGTTTTACTATGGTTGCAAATATCAAAATATTTCTATATGTGACACGGCACCAGATTTAAGTTAGGGTTTTTCAAAATGCTGACACGCCGAGCTCAAAAGGTTCGCCATCACTGTCCTAGACACTTGTCCTGAAATGTTCCTAGCTTCTCAGTATTCTGTACCACTCTCTCACATCCAGCAATGTGGGAGATGCCCGCCATCCAGGAAGATGCTCTGGCTGCTCTGAAGCAGGCTACTCCCTTTCTTTCTACCCATCCACAGGCACAAAGACATTTGGAACTCAACTGAAACATTCACTTTTTTGGGGGGGGGGGTGGAGTGGGGTAGGGCAGTGTTTCTTATCCGTATGACAATCTGATTCAAAAACTCTGGGTGCTTTCATTAGGAAAATGCATCTGCCCACCCATTTCAAGGATTTCCAAGGCCTCCCGGGGAACATCCATGGAACCAGCTTGCAGGGCCTTGGGGTTTGGAATCCTTAACCTGGATTTCCTTAGCTGCATTCGTTAGCCCGGAAGTTTCCAAGTTCAGCCCCCATTAAAATCACCTGGCGAACTTTTAAAATCCCAAATGCCCAGGCCACACCCAGCTCCGATTCAATCAGAATCCCTGGGTGGGACCGGGTGTCAGTCTACAGTCTATGTTTTAAATTGTCCAGGTGAGTCTAAAACGCAGCCAAGTTTGAAAACCAACTCACTGGCCTCTTTTTGACACGCAGTTGATCTAAGTGCTTATGTTCGATGGCTGTTTTTAATCCTTGGGTCAGAAACAATAGAAAGGCGCCTGTCGCAGACCGCATTTACTCGGAATCACCCTGGGAAAAAGGGCTTGTGGTCCGGGAGTGCATGCCCTCGCAGCGTTTTTCCTTGGGTCCGAAAGCAGCTGCAGTTTTTTCAGCGAACGCCAAGGGGCACCCTCTTCCTCCTGGCTCCACCGGGAAAGCCTTCCCATTTCGGATCCTACAAAGAGACCCTCCTCTTCCCGGGTGACGTCACAAAGAGCCGATCCTCCGCCCCTTCGGCGCCACCACGTGTGTCCCCACGCCCGGCGGCCACCGACTTAGTCCCTCGCTGGCGGGTGCAGGCAGCGGAGGAGGGTGGTTGGCAGTGCCTGGAAGCTTCGCTATGGGAAGTTGTTTCTTTGCTCTCTCGCGCCCAGCCCTCTCCCCTTGTTCTCCGCAGCCGCTCTCGGAGGAGAGCACGGGGAGGCGCCGGTTGCAGCCGAAGCTGTCTCTCCCCGCCCGGGCGGCCGCGCCGCTGGGCAGGTGCTGAACGCCCCAAGAGCCTCCGTCGCCGCCTCCCTCCTCTGCCCAACGGCCCGGCTGCCCGGCTGCCGCAGTGCATATGGGGTGTTGGAGGTAGATGGGCTCCCGGCCGGGGAGACGGCGGTGGATGCGGCGCTGGGCAGAAGCAGCCGCCGATTCCAGCTGCCGGAGAGCCACGCGCTCCCAGCGCCCCTGCAAGCCCCCGGCTCAGCCATGGGCATCTCTGCGAGCCGCAGCACGGTCCCCGACTCCTGCAGCCGCATCGCCGGAGCCACGATGATCGCGAGCTTCCTCCTGGTGAGCGCTCGGGAGGGAGGACCGCGGGCTGTGGCCGCGCGGGAGCAGCAGGCGCCGCGCTCCGGGAGCGGGGCGGGTCCCCGGGCGTGGACTGCGGGGGGCGCGGTGTCCGGCCGGCTGGGTTAGGGGGCTTGCAAGGGAAGGCAACACACCGGAGGGCTCCGACCGGTTATTTTGGGGGAGTCGCAGGGCTCAGCTGGGACTAGGGAATGAAGGCGAATGGTTTTCCTTGCAATCGGGCTTCGTTGGAGGAGGCGCTAGAGGTGGCCGCCGTGCTTCCTGCGCATTTCAGGGCTTTTCCCCTACTCGCCCCCCGCATGCTCCACCTTCCCCCCTTCCCCAGCCACCGGCCGCCGGTCTCCCGGAGTGGCGTGGGTCCGCGGCTGCGGTGTGGGGCGCTGAGGGCTGGCGGGGCCGGCGCTTTGTTGCAGCTGCAGTGTCATGTCGGGATGCTACCGCAGTGGGAGCTTGGTACCGGTGCGCGCCGGGCACTGGAGACCGCCCGGTGCACCGCGCCTAGCGTTCCCGGCAGGGCGCAAGCCACCCCTCCCCCGCCTCTGCTCCTGGGCTCGGGTGGGTCCCAGTTTCTGCACGCCAAGAACACAGAACCCCTCGACCCACTCTCAGTCGCCCCCAGAGCGCCGGCTCTCAGCCAGCCAGAGAGCTGGCACTTGAGTGGGGTAAGGGGGAGAGAGAACTACATAAAGGAAGGATGAATTTTATCCAGTCTTACCTATCCTTCCTTTACCTGCGCCCAGACTTTGGGACATAAACTGCATTTAGCTCTAAGGCATGCCCTAATCCTAGTCCTCCATCACTTACTTGGTCGAAGCCTGAAACTGTGCTTGACCCAAAACTTATCCCAAACTCCCCCAGATCCCTTCCTTTCTAAATGTTAGAGGGGAGGGGGCGAGTTAGGTGGAAGAAAATGCCTCTGAGAGCAAACCCTGGAGCCACCATAAGGTTCCCATGACTATCTTTTTGTCTCTGCAGAGAAGATGGAGATTCTTAGCTAACAAACAAACAAAAACAAAAAAACAAAAAGCCTAAAGGCAGGCTTGCTGTCTCCTTCCTGGAAAGGGTTTAATGCCCGGTCAGCCAAGATCTGCTTAGATCCCAGGGCAGTGCAGTTGCTATGGCCTGGAATTCATCCTACAGACACTCTGGTTCCCTGTGTGAGTATGTGTTTTAAGGGGAAGAGAGAGACTAAAGAAAGTTTGGTGCTGTTAGCAATTATAATGAAGCAAGTACCAGTCTCCCTTCATAGACTCTTTTCTGCCCATTTATAGTAATGACAAAGTGAAGATTTCTATGTGAAACAAGTGTGGGTAAGGAGCAGGAGGGGGTCCTTTCAAACAGTAAACCTGGATTGACAGTCTTGGTGTAGAGAGAAACCCATCTAAATCCATATTAGTAACCTTACCATCCGTGGAGTTAGCTCTATCCTCCTTCTCCACCTTAGATCTATTATTCTACCCCACCATGCCTCTCTGTCCCACCGACACAATTATTCTCCCCATAGAGTCTACTCCTAGATTAACGCTTAAGTCAATGTAATATTTCATTTATTTTACCTGTTAGTATGAGATAGGTGCTTAAAGTAAGGTCTTGATGTAATCTAAGTATATAGGTTGCTTTAACCGAATGAGAAAGACCCCAGCTCTTTTTCCTAAGTAATTAAACTTAGTATGTAAAGAATTCTCAGTTGAAGGCCTGAGAATTAAAATTGGCTATCTCTTTAAAAAATGAAATTTATAGCATAGCTTAGAAGCAATCTCAAGGTGTTAACTAAAAGAGGAGTCCTTGGTGTCTTGCTAACTATAATAGAAAGGCTCGTACTCAATTCATGGAATGGCCTGGGGTTGATCCCTTTGTCCCACAGTGTAACCGAGAGGGCGGATCAGAGTTCCGAGGACCGGGCTATGCTGTAACCCACAAGCAGGGTGGGGAGCAATATCTTATTTTTGACATCCCCACTCTGCAAGGTCCAGTCCTCAGGATAGGTGTTGTTAAGGTATAAAATGATCTTATGGCATCGTTCTAAGGCAGTGGTTCTCAACCTTCCTAATGCCGCGACCCTTTAATACAGTTCCTCATGTTGTGGTGACCCCCAACCATAAAATTATTTTCGTTGCTACTTCATAACTGTAATTTTGCTACTGTTATGAATCATAATGTAAATATCTGATATGCAGGATGTATTTTCATTGTTACAAATTGAACATAATTAAAGCATAGTGATTAATCACAAAAACAATATGTAATTATATATGTGTTTTCCGATGGTCTTAGGCGACCCCTGTGAAAGGGTCGTTAGACCCCCAAAGAGGTCGCGACCCACAGGTTGAGAACTGCTGTTCTAAGGCTTATTTATCCCATTGGATTCTTGGCTACAGAAATTGACAGGCACCAGGACCCAGAGCCCAGGTAAACCTGTCAGGTGCTCAGGATGCTCCTGAAGGAAGTGGGAGGTTACTGACCTTACCCATACATTGCAGTTAGATTAAAAAGTAATGAGCCCTGGCTGGCTTGGCTTAGTGGATAGAGCGTCATACTGAAGGGTCCTGGATTCGATTCCAGTTAAGGGCACATGCCTGGGTTGCAGGCTTGATCCCCAGTAGGGGGTGTGCAGGAGGCAGCCGATCCATGATTCTCTCTCATCATTGATGTTTCCATCTCTCTCTCCCTCTCCCTTCCTCTCTGAAGTCAATAAAAATATATATTAAAAAAAAAAAAGCCCTAACCGGTTTGGCTCAGTGGATAGAGCATCAGCCTGCAGACTGAAGGGTTCCAGGTTCGATTCCGGTCGGGGGGCATGTACCTGGGTTGCGGGCACATCCCTGGCAGGGAGTGTGCAGGAGGCAGCTGATCGATGATGTTTCTCTCTCATTGATGTTTCTAACTCTCTATCCCTCTCCCTTCCTCTCTGTAAAAAATCAATAATGCCGAAACTGGTTTGGCTCAGTGGATAGAGCGTCGGCCTGTGGACTGAAAGGTCCCAGGTTCAATTCCGGTCAAGGGCATGTACCTGGGTTGCGGGCACATCCCCAGTAGGAGATGTGCAGGAGGCAGCTGATCGATGTTTCTCTCTCATCGATGTTTCTAACTCTCTATCTCTCTCCCTTCCTCTCTGTAAAAAATCAATAAAATATATTAAAAAAAATAAAAAATCAATAAAACATATTTAAAAAAAATAAAATAAAAAGTAATGAACTGGAGTCTTAAAAATGGAAGCTACACTGACACTCTCCCAGGACCAAACTGGAAATACAACTAAAATACAGAAAAAGCACCCTGAAAAATCAACTGAAGACTAGCTGGAGAGAACCCTGATAACCAAGGACAAAAAGTGGAGACTGCATGGAGACTGGCAGAAAGTGTGGAGATGCCAAAGGGCTGGCCAGGCTCCCACAGACAGCAGCTGAAGGTCTGGAGAGATATCTCAGCCATGGGGGGTCCCCACTGAGAACTCTGGGATCTAAAACCCAAGCTGGGCTCCCCAGCCCAGAGAGCCAGAACTGGGAAAGGTGCCCACAAAACATGTGGCTGTGAAAAGCAGCAGGGTTGCTGTCTGCCAGCAAGAGATGGCTGGAAATGCAGGCACACTCTTAAAGGGCCAAAGCACAAAATTGTGTATGCAGCCACTCACCTTTGGCTCCGCCAGAGGGAGGGCAGAGTGGACTGGAGCTGTGTGAGGAGAGTCCAGGGTTGGGGGCTTTGAAGGGTAGCCACCCTGGTTTTCTATGCTGAGTCATTCCCTTACGCTGCAGAGGACATTTTTCTCCATGGACCTTTGCTATCCAGGTGGTTTTTGCCTGCTGGAAGACCTCTTGCCCCACCCTGTGGTCAATAGCCTGAGGCTAATCCAGCCTGAATACAATCAGACTGCAGGCAGAGGGAGATCTCTGGAGGCTTTGAGACTTTGCCTGATCTCCTTTGGGGCTCTGGGCTAGGAAAAGCAGACACTGGTGCACATCTTGGCCCTTTCCAAAGATACCCAGCCCCAGCAGAAGGAACCACAAGCTATGGGTTGCTGCTAGGTCCAAGCAGGGTACTCAGGGTCAGTAACAAACAGCGTCTGACATTGTCCTGCTCTAGAGATTGGGAGTTATAGCAGATCTACCTAATACATCGACACAAACCCAAACGGTCAGCCAAAATGGAAGACCTCTTGCCCCGCCCTGTGGTCAATAGCCTGAGGCTAATCCAGCCTGAATAACAACTCCCAAATGAAAGAATAAGAGAATTCTCCAGAAGAAAAGCTAAATGAAATGGAGATAAAAAATTTCAGCTATAGAGCTCAGAATAATGATGGCAAAGATACTCAACAGTATGAGAAGATAGATAGTAACCATGAAAAAAAGTCAGAAATAAATAATGACATAGCACTAATAAAGAACACATTGTAAGGAATACATAGCAGATTAGGGGAAGTCGAAGATCAGATTAGTGAATTAGAAGACAGTAGGAAAAAAACCCACTCAATCAGAGAACCAAAAATAAAAAAAACAACTAAATAGGAGGGCAGCTTAAGGGAGCTGTGGGACAACAGGAAATGTAACAATATTCACATAATAGGAGGGAGAGAAGGAGAAGAAAGCAAGGGATAGAGAATGTGACGAAATAATGGCAGAAAACTTCCCTAACCTGGTGAAAGAGAAAGTTACACAAGTTCAGGAGGCACAGAGAGTCCCAACAAGAAGAACCCAAACACACCCACTCCCAGACACATCATAATTAAAATGCCAAAAATTAAAGGCAAAGAGAGAAAAGTAATTTACTAGCTACAGAGGAGCTCCCATAAGGCTGACAGCTGATTTTTCATCAGAAACTCTACAGGCCAGAAGGGAATAGCATGAAGTATTCAATTTAATGAATAGCAAGGATCTGAAACCAAGATTACTATATCTAACAAGGCTATCATTCAAAATAAATGGCGAAATAAAGAGCTTCCCAGACACAAAAGGCTAAGGAGTTTATCACCATCAAATCAGCACTGC